GGGTATTTATAGTTGAAGCTTAAGGACTAATTTATAAATACCCTAAATTACAATTACTAAAATTAAGATTTTACCATTGTTGAAAAATCAACAATTGATACACCTTTCGGTGCCCTCATTTGACAAAATAATTCAGTGCCATGTGCACCGATTTTAACTCATCCACTTCATATCACGATGCAAGTCAGTATTATTCTCTCTTCAGATCTGAACTGTTAGGCCAGAATATGGTATCCTAATTATAAAAACTACTCTTATATTTGTAGGGTGCCCATAGAAGTCATGCAATTTAATTTGGTAGGATTGAAAAGATAGGGCAATGTGCTTGAGGGGTAGATTGCTTAAAGGAAATAAGCTTGTCATTTTGCTTCTCTTTCCCTTACAAATTGTGGGTCTTTTTAATAATGATCGAACGTGGACAGAAATTTTACGGCCGATTCCCAGCGTTCTTATTGTCCCACTTTCATCCCAACTAGGGTATTTTACTGTTTTATTAAATCCTAAAAATCCCGGCCAACCATTTTCAGTACAAGGCTATTTCAGTCATTCTAATACAGTAAATTGCATGCATAAAATCCTCTTTTCTAATGCACTTGTAACATCCTCAATACCGGGTTAGTGATAAAATTGTAAAATTTCAGAATTTGAGGATAAAAGTAGAAAAGTTGAATAGTTCAATGATGTATGTGGAGATATTTCCTGAAAGTTATTAGTAATTATTAAAGGAGATTAAGGGCAAAATGATCTTTGTTATCTAAAGATAATTATCTTATCTCTTTATTAAGAGATAAGCTTGTGGGGAGAGTTATCTGGAAAACTTTTCTCCCTTCTTCTTCCTTCTCCACGTGAGAGCTCAAGCAAAGGTAAGATTTCTTGTTGTTGATTATTAGCTGAAATTTAAGGTTGAGTTTTGATTATTAGGTGATAATTAAGCATAAGAAGAGCTTAAATTATCTTGAAACAATAAGATGAAGAGAATAGAGGGAATTAAAGAAAAGAGAATAATAAGTGAAATCTTAAAAGAGGGTTCTTTAATGAGGTTTTAAAGTGAATTTGATTTGTCATCAATCTAATTAACATGTATGAAGTGTTAGAATTGGATTTATAACATGTTAAAATTTGGTTATGATTCTTGAATTTCTTAAGGAGAATAGGATATGGAGGTTAAAGAAGTGATTATTGAGTAGAAATGAGTGCAAATATGTATATGTAAGTTAGGAATATGAAAGGGAATGAAATATGAAGCATTTGAGTTGAATTAAATGGATTTTCGGGCTTAAAATGCAAATTCTGGGCAAGGTGTATCGATGCACATTCAATGTGCATCGATGCACATTCAAAGAAGAAACATCAAATGCAATTGGTGTATCGATGCATAAGGAGTGCATCGATGCATGGGTAGTGCATCGATGCACATGTTAAAGAATGCATCGATGCATTGTAGAATGCATCGATACACTTCAAGGGGAAATTGAAATAGACATTTCTTTTGGTCTAAGAAATGATAGATTAGTGTATATCAATTGGATACTGATATGCATCAATATATGATTATATAGATATCGAGCACGAACAAGTCCGGGTCGATTGTCAAGTTAAGATTCGATCGAAAGAGAGGAAAATAATAAAGTGTATTGGAACGTAGTGAGGCCAAGATGAGTGCACATTAGATAGTGTATTATGTTTAATGGAAATAAGACTTATGACAAGTCTATTTCCTATAGTAGAATGCATGAATTCATTAATACGAGCATATGTTTGATATGTTATGTGTGTGTTATTGATTGTTACATATGTTAATGTAATGAGTGAATAAATGTTTATATGATACATGTTAAGTGTCCATGATATATGCACACATGATAATATGATATAAGTTAAATTATGTAATATGATACATAACTATGATATAAGTGAAGAAATGTATATATGATAGAGATTATGTATATGATAAATGAATGATATGAAAAGTGACATGAACTACGTGAAAAGAAGCTACCTGATTACAGGTACATATGAAAGAAGTTATGAGTTTATAAGAACATGTGTTATATGTAGTCCTTTGGGACATCTACGTGGTCCTTCGGGACAAATTCTACGCTCCCCTAGTGGGAATTATACGAGCTGTAGTGACAGCATAGTGCACAACCTCAATAGACTCACATATCTACAGTTCTCACATGTGTACATGGGCTAATAAAGAGATAATTGTGAAATCAATGTATGTGATATATGTATATGAATTGCATGATATGATATATGTGTGATATGAGTTATTGTATCTGTTACATGAATATATGTTGATGTATATGTGAGTGAGTATAAATGACTTATATATGATGATATAAGAATTTGTTATAAGTTATAGAATATGAATGTAATAGATCATATGAATAAGAAATAAGAGATATGAAGTATAATAGTATAGGAGCAAGATAAAAACATAAATGATGATATGTATGTAATTTTGATATGAAAAGAATATGAGTGAGATGATTTGATATAATGTGTATGATATGAAAATAATAGTTGTTCCTGCATGATTACAAGTTAGAGTATACATTATATATTTATTCGCCTCATTAAGTCATAGACTTAGCGTGTGAGTGTTTCACACGCAGGTTCTTACAAGTTTATGGATTGTTGAGGTGCAAGTCAGGTCAGCATTTTTCCTTACAAAGTTTCAGATCAGAAAATAGATGATTTAAATGTATTTTATGGTATAAAAGTCTAGTTGGCATGTATTTAAAAGATTTGAATTGTATAAGCTCTGAATAGTTCTGTAAACGTTTTGAATAAGTTATAAGTTATAAAAGTTTTTAAATTATTCACTATTTTATACAAGTAAATGTTTTAAAAAAATCAATATGACACCTCAGATTCGGATCCAGGTCGGATTCGAATTGGGGGTGTTACAGCACCCCTCACTAAATTCATAGCACTAAAAGCATGGACTTCACTGCCAAACACTTGTTATTTGCTCTTCTCATTTCGTCCACCAAGGCTTTAGAGCCATGTGGTTTCCAGCCAGACAACTCGGACCTCCCGGTGATTCCAATCTACGACAAATACTCTCCGTTCAACCAACCGAAACCCGAGTCATGGGTCAACACAATCATCGACATGTCCTCAAAAGACCCAACAAGAGTCAAGTACTTGTCCACCCTTGCACCCCAAAAGACCACTGCGGTTCCAATTGCTTCGGGTCTACAACTCCCGAGCATTTGCAACTACGTGGTCAAGGTCAAGCTTGGCACCCCGGGTCAGACCATGTTCATGGTGCTCGACACTAGTAATGATATTGCTTGGGCCCCATGCTCCGACTGCACCGGTTGCTCGCCCACCACTTTTTCACCCAATGCTTCTTCGAGCTATGGCTCGTTGGGTTGCTCCTTGCCCCAATGCACCCAGGTTCATGGGCTCTCGTGCCCGGCTATCGGGGCTGCTGCTTGCTCTTATAACCAATCCTACGGTTGAGATTTTTCTTTCTCTGCCAACTTGGTTCAAGATTACTTAACATTAGCCAATAATGTTGTCCCGAATTTTGCTTTTGGATGTATTAATTCCATCTCTGGTAAATCAGTCCCACCCCAAGGGTTATTAGGTTTGGGTCGGGGACCGTTGTCATTAATTTTGCAATCCGGGTCACTCTACTCCATTGTGTTTTCGTATTGCTTACCTAGTTTCAAGTCCTACTACTTCTCGGGTTCCCTCAAACTCGGGCATGTGGGTCAGCCCGATAATATTCAAACTACCCCGCTGTTGAAAAACCCGCATCGACCCTCACTTTACTATGTTAACCTAACCGGGGTCAGCGTAGGCCAAGTTCAGGTCCCCATCGCTCCGGAATACCTAGCATTCAACCCGAATCCCAGGGCGGGGACATTTATTGACTCGGGTACTGTTGTAACCCGATTCGTACAACCCATTTACCAGGCAATCCGTAATGAGTTTGTGAAGCAAGTGAAGGGCCCATTTACAACAATAGGAGTATTCGAGACATGCTTTGACGCATCAGCAGAAGTTGAAGCTCCATTAATAACATTACATTTCGAAGGCTTGTCCCTGAAACTGCCAATGGAGAACAGCTTCTTACATACTAGTGCAGGGTCACGTGCTTGCTTGACAATAGCACCGGTTCCAAATAATGTGAAGGCCGCCATGAACGTCATAGCCAATTTGCAGCAGCAAAACCATAGGATTCTGTTTGATGTCGCCAATTCTCGCTTGGGAATTGCTCACGAAGCTTGTAACTAGTTTCATTTACTCTTGCTCTTTGTTTGCCTTCTTGTCGTTTAGGCCAAGTTTCTAGCTTTATGCAACCCAAAAAAAATGATAAAGTAAACAGGACGAAAACCCTTTTGTTTTGGTGATTATGTAATAACATCGTTAAGATTTGATCTCCTAGTCCCCGTATGCTTTACACATTTCAAATTTAATCCATTTACTTCTAATCATAAGTATTTATTCTCTCTACTCTTTTTGATTTTATAATTGAAGTCCAATTAGTCTCTGCTTTCGTCATGGCATACCCAGTCTTCTTCACATTCTTCATTTGCAAATTGGACATCCCAAGTTAATATTTAGCACCTCTTTGGAAACTGGCAAGAGTCTCAGTCTTATACATCTCAAATTCCAGATTCCTTGTAGGGTAATTCTTGACAAACCAATTGGTGACACTGCCACCACTATCATCCTTTCTTTCCCAGATTCAGAATACCTAGTACAAATCATGAAACAGCAATGACAAACCAGTTTTTTTTTGTACATATATTTGAATGATTATAATTTCATATATTTATCAATAGGTGTCAAATATAAGTCGACTCCCCCCCCCCAAAAAAAAACTATTTGTCACCAACATTAGTTTTTAATGCATTTTAAAAAAGAAAAAGAAAAAGTCAACACAGGCTGATTTATTAAATTCTAGTATATCTATAACTAAAGGCTGGCTTCATTGATTCTGATTCAATAGCTCCATGAGGCTTATCAACGAATATAACCAATAAAGCTTAAATTAGAACTTGCATTCGCCCATGCAAAGGACGTAATTGCTATTTGCAATCATTAGTTTGGGTTTTCTGACAACAAAAATCAGTCACCAAGATTTCAAGTTATTCAGCTTATTACATCTACGACATGCTAGTTGATATATGCATATGTACGTCTTGGATTAAAGTGTTAGCAGCCTCTCCTCTTGCTCTTAATATGGGGCATCACCAATCAGTCTCCCACCAATAATATCGTCCCCCTCTCTGGTATACTTTCCTCATGTTCGAAAGCACCATTATCAGCCTGATCAGCAGATCCTATACAGTCCATTCAATAATTCGATTAGCAAGAGACTGACCAAATTCTTGAGTTTAATCTGTAGGACGCCATTGGCCTTCAGATCATCCCCGGTCTAGAATATGGGTTTTATTGCCTGGATTCCAGAGTTATTGGCTCATGTCTGGTCCTCTACCTTTTTCTGGATTTTTAACAGATTTGGTAGGAGGTTCTGCTCCTTTTCCTTTGTCTGGATTTTTGACAGTTTTGGTTGGAGTTTCTGCTCCTCCTCCTTTGTCTGGATTTTTAACAGATTTGGTTGGAGGTTCCGTTCCTTTGCTTTTTTCTGGATTTTTAACAGTTTTGGAAGGTTCTATTCCTTTTCCTTTATCCGATGAGCTTGGGGCTGCTTGAATTGAACCACGGCCTTTCTCCATGCCAGCCGTTTCATTTGCAGTCTGGCTTCGGAGTTCCTTCATAAAGTTGTTGAATCCATTTGTCAGTTTAGTAAGAGCTGACATTAGACTCTGAACGACTGTACTAGCTTTTACATAAAAACTAAAAACGATATTATTTATTACCAACCATGCATTGAAATAAGCATAATTGATACTGTGAACCAGAAACTTTTGACGGTGGTGGGTTCAAAATTCTAGAAAACTGCATTACAGCTTCATATAATTGGTGTCGCATTTTCTCTTTGGGTGGCATGGGTCAAGGAGTATGTCTTGAAAGGGGTTGATTTTTGGGATGCCAGTTGCAAGCCTCAGTTTAGTTGGATATTGAGAAAGCTCCTTAAGCCTAGGAATGAGGCGGCTGGACTGTTTGCTAATGTGGAGGCTTGGGACGTGGTGAAAAGCAGTTGGGTTTGGGAGAGAGTTCGAGATAGGAGGGAGAAGGTACTGTGGGAAGATCTTCTCTGGTTTCCTTTGTATATCCCAAAAATGTCAATTGTTGCTTGGATGGTCATTTTAAATAGGCTCATTTGCATGGGGTTGGAGTCGTATGGGAGTTGTGGTCTTTGTGAAGATGGGTTGGAAAGCAGAGAACATTTGTTCAATGACTGTGTTTTTGCTGGTGGAGTTTGGAACAGAGTTATGCAGGCCTGTAGGTAGCCTTGCAGGTCATTGTGCTGGAATGAAGCTTTGGCTTGGGCAGTTGCTAATTTCAAAGGGAAGTCTTTGCTTGTTTGTATCTTGAAGTTGGCTTGGACTTGCTTTCTGTATTTTGTTTGGGAAGAGCGCAATTTTAGGCGTTTTAGGGGATGCTCTCGTTTAGTTGAAGAGATTTTTGAATGCATTAGGATGACTGTTTGTGCTAAGTTAAAGGGTTGTCGTATTAACAAGCTTGATAGAGTTAATTTGTAGCTTTGTCTTGACTGGGGAATTTGTTGATTTTAGTTTCCTTTGCTGCTGGGCTTATAGTGTTGCTGTTTTGGCTGCTTAATTGTTGAGGAGAGTGGTTCCTTGGGGACAGGAGGTTCACTGGAAGACTCACTATGCAGAGTTTGCATTTTTACTTTTAATTCTGCTGAAAGGTTTTGTTTTTTACATGTTTATATTTATTCTGGTATGAGTTGGTTTTTGGATACGTTTGTTGTTTAGATTGGTGCCTAGCAGGGTTGACTGCTTGGTGGTTCTTTTGTAGCAGGTGTTCCTGCTTTCTTTTGGGTAATAAAATTGAAATTAATGAAAAAAAAATTGGTGTCTCATTAAAAATATAATAAAACATACCTCACCCTTCGAAGCTGACTTCTTGGAATTTCTTGAAGTATCGCGCTTGTGTGAAATTGTCTCTGTTGACTGATCTAACTTTTGGTTTTCATTCATTTCCTGCAGAGGCAGATTCTTGGCTCAGAGAATTCCATTCAAAACAGATTCCAACATATCCAGGAGAAGTGAATTTAAGAACCAATTCCATTCTTTATCTAGGGAACTTCATGCTGCCTCAAATGCATGTGAGTTTACCTTGCTTCTTGAACTTGTAGAAGCAGCTTCAGTACCCTTTGTCTTATCCTTCCTGTGTTCAGAGTAAAACAAGTACGTAGATTTTTACCAAGTTCATAAAGAGATAAGAAAGGGAAGTGGAGAAGAAAATGTAAATAAACATCTAAAGTGGATTATCTATTTTGAAGCATAAATTATTGGCGAGTTAGCAGTTGCCAAATAATTCAACATGTATTCAAACTCCAGAAAAACTAATCAAGGAAATGTTTTGTAACAAGTATCTACAGAATATGCCACTCAGAGTGAACCAACTTAAAGCTTACACTTTTGATTGATGATTTGGTACATCACTCATGGAAGCAGACTTTTTCTCAGGATGTTGATTAAGCTGTTTCCCTAGATCATCAACCTTTTTGTTCAAAATGATTATGTCAGCCTCTGATTGAGTTATGTCCTTGTGATCTGCCTTTGTCTTTATTACATCCGAAAGTTAACATTTGATGCAAATAAAGATTAGGTACTCTAATTAATCTTAGGAAGGCCATTGGCTACCTTTTCATCAAGCTTAGCTGGGAGAGATGTGGGTCCTTGAGACGGGTTAAGTCCTGCTTCCAGAGCTATCCTCTTTTCTCTTGCCCTTTGAAGCTCTTCCTCTAATCTTGCAACCTTTAGGTACAGCCAGGAGCAGCAATCAAAACAGGGCCATGCACATAAAATTCGTACACCACTTGCGATAAAATATAGATCCTTTATCTTTGTGCAACTAACAGATGAGTAATTAATGAATGCAAATGAAAATATTAAATTCCATACATTACCAAAACAAGACAAATGTACTTCCAGTAAGTATATAATTGTTCATTCTACTGCTGATATAAAATTAGGACTTGTTTTAGCCAAGCCAAGTGAAAAAGAATTGGATATTGAAGAGGAAAGAAAGAACGCAAAAACATCTCTTACTAAATTTCAAAAATATTTTAGCAAAAGAGAGTGCCTTTAATATATTTGTTTCCTTAGGATCACAATATGCATCTTTGTCACTGCAGATATGCAACCTAACATAATGCAGGAAACATAAAAGACAGCACACACAAGAAATACACAAGGGAAAAAATCTCCTTGCAAACATACCTCTTTCTGAAGAGCTAGCCGTTGCTCATGCAGTGCCTTCTTTCTTTTTTCCAAGCTGGCTTCAAGAATGATATTACCTTCAATCTACATTAGAAAGATGACTTTATATGAAAATTTCAAAAAACATGTTGCAAAAACAATAACTAGAAAGGGTGGGCAAAGCAGAACCTCTTCTGTGAGTCTCTTTTGCAAGTCCGATCTTTCAGCCTCAAGTGACTCAAATGCAAACCTAAAATCGAGACAAAATCAGGTAAGTACAACATAAAATAGAGATATTATTAACAATATACAAAGGTCAGATTTACACTATTTTTTGCTTTTCCACTTTTGTCTAGAAAAATTAGTCATGCTTGACTCATGAGTTATGCAAAACAGATCATGGGTCTGCATGAGTTATACAAGTAAAACCAGGAAAATAAGAAGTAGCAGGCAAATTTATAAAAGGTTCTTTTTTCTACAGATCATGGGGAACATCACTTACTCTTCCTCACATGGAAGATCAGGACAATCCACAGATAGTTTCTTGCTTCCCTGTAAAAGCAAACAGGATAATCAAATAATTAGTTACCATGAGATTATTAACACATTGCAATTATAATTTGACTAATCCTGGAAATACTCATTAGCTAACAGAAAAACTACTAGGCCAAAAGCAAAACAGATCATGAATACAGAAAATGAAAACTTACACTGCTCCTTCCCCAAAAAGCATGCCTAACATGGTGGCCAGGTCCGTTTCCAACAGCAAGGGGTTTTGTGGAATTAGAGACTGGACTACGAGTTGATGCATCCTCCAACTTGGTTACTCCATGAACTCCTTTTAACAGCTCAGCAGACTTATTGGTCTCAGTTGCAGAACTTTTAGTTCTTCTATTATCCTCACTCTTTTTTGAATTATCATTTACATCAAGTGAACTTGAAACTTTCTTGGTGGCTTTGACATCATCACTATTTTTGGAGGACTCAGAACTAGAGCTCGAAGATTCAGAATCCTGCAATTTATTTTCAATTCATGTAAGTATAATGTCGCTTTTTGTTACTGATCTATTTCTCCTTCCCTTTTTTATGTTAAAAACGGAACTAATACTAAAAATCTGAACTGAGGGGCCACAGAAAGTAAGAAGTCAGCTATATGTTACAAACAAAAAATAGCAAAGAGAAAACTTCAAGATTCCTGTAAGGGGAAAAGATGGAGAACTATACACATCTGACTCTGATATAAGGTTCGTAACCACAAATTCAAAGGGGAAAGCAAAGACATGGAAACAATCAAACAATAGAAACCTTTAGTCGCCAGATGGTGACAAATGAAGCAGATACACAAGCTAGAAAATCATTAAAAAGAGGATATAAATCTGGTTACCTACGAGCTCAACACAAATATTGCACTAATCAGAGGTAAATGCCTAAATAAGATTTTCTGAAGAAAAACTTTAATAGTCCAGAAGTTTGGATCAAGTTTGTGACTGCCATCATTTTTAAAGTTGATGAACAAGATATAAAACAAAAATGCCGGTGTAAGAAAGAATAGGAACAAACTTTATCATCACCGCTTTTAACAGATTGACCACTCTCACTGCCTGTTCCACTTTCAGCAGAATCGTTATCATCATCAGACACTTGTGATTCGTCCTCACATTCATCATCTTCATAGGACTCATCATCATCAGCTTCTTCCTCACTTTCACTTCCACTCTCGTCTGAGTCAGAGTACAAATCAGGGGAAACACAACCTTCCTGCCAACAAAATGCTAAGCTCATAACTGCAATGTAAAAAAACAAATCCAAACCAAAGTAATAACAAATTGGAATATGGAATGAGAACAGCCAAATTATAATTTTTTAATAATAAGAATTAGAAATATTACTATAATATAAGGAAAGAATGTGGGGAGGATATAATAAACTCAGCATAACTGTATTCAAATTCCACCATTAGACAGTCGTAATCCAATCACTTTAGATCTGTACTACAAATAATAGCGCATACATCCAGGACAACACGAACAATTTTGACTTAATGATCATGCATCCTCAAAATGTAGAAAGAAAATTCTGCACTAAAGAAAAGGCCTTACAAACTCATATATTTATTGCATAAATACTTCTTGCATATATAGCGACTACAGAAAGCCATATTAGAAGCAGTTGTGCAATGATGGCAATAATTGCAGCTTACCCCAAATATTTTATCATACTGTTCCAGTAATGTTATAACAATGGCTTGAGCATGATTGGCTGCAGCAGCAGCTTGCAGCAGTTGCATTGAACCATCACCTCCCACATCAAAATCATTTTCAATATCACATTCACCAGATAGAAGAGGACGAAGAAGTAAGGGTGCCATGCAGGCTGCCACAGCTGAAGAGCTCATTCGATTTTCATTTTTGTGAGAAGCTATAGTTTGCATCATCATTAGAATTCTGAAAGAGTGGATTAAGAGAAGATAAATATGGATAAGGCGGTTAGTAGATGAGATAGCTAAAAATGAAAGATGATATCTTTATTTTGGAAATAAGATCGAACCTCGGTTTTTTATTGTTTCCCGAAAATGCATTTCCCTCGTAATTTTCAAAAATAAAAAATGCTGAAAACTAACAGAACCTTAAGAGATGTATTCTTCTTTAGAGTACAAGAAATTCTGGTGTGCTAGGTTAATTGATTTTAGTTTCTATGTTTATGCCTTCTAAAAGATATTATATCCAATCTCACACTCACTCATTTAGCAAGGACCAAGACATATATCTGAGGGTTACACACCATAAAATTTCTTGTATCAACAAGAAGTGGATAATCAACCAAATTCAAAATAAGATTCAATCATCCAAACAATTTAGAGAATTTTTTTTCTCAAAAGGTAGAACGAGCAATTACAAGGAAAGGAGAAGAATTTGACAACCCGACCTATTTTCCTAAGTTAAAACAAATATTGTAAGTGAAAATCGTCTAGAACCCCAATAAGAAACAATGCAAACTAAACTCAATCATGACTTTCAAAATGAATCTAATTAACCAAATCCCAACGTAGAAAAACATTTGCTTATGCCTAACCTCTATCTATACTCTGTACAATGGCTTAAATGAGTGAAACTTCTGGCCTATATTTTCATTACACTTATCATTCTATGTCTATTTTCACTGATGGGTTATCTTTAATGCAGTTTGTTATTAATAATTGTACTGCATAGGAAAGACAACGTCAATTGCATATCATTTAAATCCATAATAAAAATATACTTATTTTAACGCCCATATGCAGTAACAGCTCTCTTTTAAATATTATATTATCTACAATGCTCAGGAATAAATGCAAAAATTGCATACTGAGTATCATTTGTACTGAGAAAAGCATTATACTTAAAAGGGCAAGAACTGACAGTTATGAATTGTCTACCTCTGTAATAAGCGACGATTTGGCTCAGGAAACGTGTCCAATACTGCCATACGCATAGCATTGACTCTAGCACTGTGCTCAGTTCCTAATCATTGGATGATGTCCAATAACAGAATAACAAAACTCAATTTTCAAAAATAATAACAGCTGGTTATCATAAAAATGCAATGTCATAGAGCTCAAAAATATGCAACAAGACAATTTCCACTTCATTCCTTAGGGATCCAACCAATTGAGAATACAAGAACTTCACCCAATAAGGATTGTCCAACATATAATTACCTTCAAAATTAGAGGCATCAAGAACCAATAGTGGCAAAGCATATTATGACCTCAATTTATTACAGGTTAAGACAAAAAAACAAAAACCAGATCAGAATACAACTTACTGCATGCTTCTAGTAGAGCGTTGCAGCATGATGCAGGGACAGGAGATGATGGCAACTCCCGAATTACATACTGGAAAATGGAATGAAGCAAATTAAACTACGAAACAGAAGAAGAATATGATTCAACTTAAATGAAAAAATCGTGTGGAATCTAGTAAGGCATACCTTGACACAGTCAGCAATGACATGTGCATCCTCGTCCTGAGAGAACTCGGTTTTTCCTGCAAAAAATAAAAAATAAAAAGCATCACTGAAAAAAGAGTTTGAAGATTGAACAGGAAGCATTGTGATGTAGAACTACAAGCATACAAAGTAGCCTGGCTTCTTGTTCTGTCCCATACATTAAGAAAGAAAATTTCCTTACATGAATACCGAATCAAATTTAAGTTCTTACAAAGCTACCTTTGATAGCATTGTTTACAGCCAAACATTAAATATTAAATGAATATATCCAACGTTTAAGAAAAGAAGACAACCTACAGTAGCTGAAAGCAATGTTAAACAAATAAAAAGAAAAAATTGAATATAGTCAAGGGCAGCGTTTATTGAACAAACCCTGTTCATATTCCCGAATTCGGCGCTCAACATCCTCAACATCTGCAGCCTGCCTCAAGATCCCTTCTACTTTAACTCCTGTAAAATTATTTGAACATGACTAAAAGGATCTCAATGAAAATGAATAAAAGTGCTTTGCCATGTAACTTAAATCAGTGAAAATTGAAATTAACATCACACACACAGCTTCTGAGGCCACTAAATTTTTGAACAATGTGAAAAATTCTTGAAACAAATATAAACAAAATTAGACGTGAGCAGTGGTTAGCCATGCAGGAACTTTAAATGGATATCACGAGAAAGGTATTTGAAAAAAACAGACATGCACAAATATTTACTAGACTATATGCATTAGAGACAGTTACCCAGTTTATGGAATTAGAACTTTAGCATATACTTAAATGAGATGGCAACAATTAAAAAAAAATAGCAGCTCACCATATTCTTCTACAAATCTAAGGGCCTTCTCCAAAAATGTTGGAGCCCCATCAACATCTTCCAGTGCTAGTAAAATTGGTCTGTGTAAGACTGTAGATCTCACAGGTTGTTTATCATTCACTAACAAAGAGAAAGAGAAGAGCATCAATATCTAGAATGAGAGGAAAAATAAATCAAAACAACCTAGAAAAAAACTTGATAGGACTGTAAAGAAACATGACAAAATGAAGAGATATAGTAAAAACTAGAAAAAAGGAGGGTGTATACAAAAAAAGGTAACTCCCAGTCAAGGCTCCCGATCAGTAGTAACATTCTAAAATGTTTTCAATAATAAACTTTTATCATGCAATATTTCAGTTGTTTACATTAGGAGCTAGATATGAATGGAGCTTCGTACAGATGTCGTTCAAAGTTATACAACTTTTTTTTAAAAAAAGAGCTGCATGAAACTTACTTGGATCCTTAGAAGCATCAATTGCATCTGCCTGATCATTCCCAAAGATGCCATTTTGTCCCCCAGAACTTGGTGCTTGTGATAAAGCTTTCTCAAGTGCAGTCTTCCACTCGTACAAATCCTCCGACGTTTCAGCCTGCAAAAACAACAGAAGGAACCGTCATCTCATATGATTTCCCAAAATCTCACTGTTATAATAATTTGATTAAGCATTGAATTTTCCAATAATATCAGACACGTAATAAGTGCATCTCAGCCTTCAGAATCAGTCACCTGGCAAAGTCAGTTCTTAATAGCGCGGGTTTCAGAGGATAAAAGAATGCTATCAGCAGGGTATGGAGTGAACTACTTGATAGAACTTATATACTGAAGATGAAATTTTCCTGTTCTGGGCATTCTCTTTACACGGAGGTGTTGGTCACTCAAAACCAAGTTTACACTTTTTAGGTACAAGAAAGATCTTTCACTCTTTCGGCAGAATCTTGATATATGTGGCTCAGATAGAAATATCACAACTATTTATCAAGCAAAGAAAATGTAAAAACAAAGGGCAGTGAATCTGAAAATATGAACAGTTTTTTGAGGAATGGATGAACAACCTTGAGTGTGAAGGTTCGTCCATCGCGGCCATCTTGAAATAGTACGGTAATGAGTTTTTTATCAGCTTTGACAACCACACTAGAAAATTTGAAAGGTACCACGAGTTAGTAAACGTTTCCACTTTAACGACATTCACAATTTGAAGAAGACATCACGAATTATCTTTTCAGAAATGCAAGCCAACCTGCCTGAATTGTTGAGATCAATACCGCCGAGAGTTAAATTCACTTCATTCCCCTTCTGAGAACTGGCATTCTGAAAAGTTAACAAGAGTATATTAATCTTCTTCTAAAATCTTATCCAAAATGCAGAGAGAGAGGAAAATAGACTGCTGCACGGAATGTAGAAAGAAGAGAAAAACACAATAGTAGGATGATAACATCCAACCAATAAATATCAACGCATCTAGAAAAAATACAGCACACTCCAGTTCTTCTACAGTATCCGTCCAAGTCCTTTCCTCAGCCCAAGCAATAGCTAAATCATTTTTCTATTTTACTCTTCGAGGTGAAGCTCTCGAGAATATACCTTTTACCAGAGGCCCCATCTGTCTCGGGGTGCATTCTAAGAGGACCCATCTAATGAAGTCCCAGCTTTCCTTTTTTCGCACAATGATGAACTAAAGAAGAACCTTAATTGTCAAATTAAAGTGTTTGATAACAATCATTTCTACCATGCTAAAAAAGTGCATCCGTACAAACTACTAATGGGTCACTTAAACAAACATTTAATTCTTCTCGATAGGTAAATTTCATGGATTTAGAGCCACCTTACTAACTTAATTTTAGGCCAGTTTTCCAATTTCGGCTCAATTTCTGTCCGAAGAAGACCTTAAAACTGTAAAAGTAGTGTGAGGACCTGCTATGTGAAATAGACACGAGAGTTTGATTTCCATTCATCTTTTTGATCGAGACACATTCTGATTGAACCATATGCTTCTGATTGCGAGAGAAGTAGAGCTCATAAAAGATAATCGTAGCAGATTAGTATCATAGCAAATTATTATCATTTCAATTTCATCTTTTGGGTTAAGATATATTCTAGTCACTAATAGTCATTCTCAGGAGACGAAATAAAACTCGAGATCCATATGCTTCTGGTTGAGAGAGAACTATCACATAAAAGATAATAGTAGCAGATTAGTATCATTCCCGGGCATCATTTGACCTTTACTGTGTACCAAGAAAAATAAATAAATGATGTAAAAAATAGATAAGCATGTATCAGTGTTGAGACTGACAATCTACCGGACTGCAAAAACTTACAGGATCACTTCTAAAGAAAACCAGCGAAGTATGTGTCAAAATGAACCACCTTTTCTTCCATGATGCCCATCCAATTCCTTTAATCAAATAAAAATAAGAAAAAAAGGAAAAATAATAACCTATAGAAATCCAACCCAGTATCTTGGGACTGTGACCTCATAATGCACATTTTTCTAGTAAATATAAGTAAAAGCAGTGCTTCACAAAACGTAAGGTGAAAGACAAATTACTAACTAAATTAAATAAAAAAAACAAAGTATACAAACCTTTTGATGATATAAAAAGTGGCCCACTCTTTAAAACCTGCGAGAAAGTTTTAACCTTGAAATGCATCAACTTTTACAATTTTGTAAAATGCATGCTTAACCAACTCTGGAATGCAGACGATGTAAGAAAATAATTTTCGAAGGTAAACAATCTAGTAATGCACTTAAAATACAGGACACGGTTCTTTTTCTCTCATCAAAATTGCTCACTTATTCTTAATTTGGTTGGTAAGGGCTACAATAAGCATGACAACATCAAAAGAAAATAGCTGCCATATAGGCAATCCTTCCATGAAATGGTTCATATGGACCAAATCACATACGATATAGATAAAATAATAATCAAAATAAATAAATAAGATATATAGATGACTGATAGACATATATAGGGAATTATGGTCACGTGCAACTTTCAATCAACAATCAAAACCCGGAATAGTAAACAACTCACCACGGGGGGAGAGCTTACAGAGTTGCCACCACGAGAATTCAGATTCTCCGATGGTCCTGTCGCACTTGTTGGACCTGGAGTAACAGCAGTTGCTGCATATCCCTTGAGGGAAAATAAAAATGATTTTCAGCACGAGATCTCCACACAAAAAAAGCATCAAGATTCATATATACTTGATGTCCTTGAGATGGCTCTCGCTCTTCCCTTTTGGAAACCATCTTCTGCCAACATTATACCCGCACGATCAGAGCTTTTACTCTAAAATATTTCCATCAAAACAATAATGTGAAGGGGAAAAATGTGTACCGATTGTGCTTGAGGCGACTCTTCCTTTTTTCCAGCCATTTTCTAGTAATGAAAATAAAAAAGAACCTGAAGTCTCTGTTAAATCACAATTTTTTTTCTGATTGCCAAAATCTAGAGAGAGAAAATGATCATACCTGTTGAGCTTGAGATGGCTCTTCTATTTTCTGATATAAATAAAAAATAATAATTACTAAAAAATCTCCGTTAAACCACAATTAGATCCTCTCCACCCTTTATTTCTGAACACCAAATTCTATACGAAAAACTAATTAAAAATTAACAGCAAGGATGGAATAGAAAAGAAAACAAATGTATATTGATCAAAACCAGTTGTGCTTGAGACGACTCTTCCTTTTTTTCCAGTCGTTTTCTTATCCATAAAATAAAAACATTAACGTAAAAATCTGTGAAATTACGATAAAGAAGAAAAAAGAAATAAAAAAATATTGATCAAAACCTGCTGTGCTTGAGAAAGGTCTTCCCTTTTGGCGGACATTTTCTAATGAAGAGAATAAAAAGGAATTAACATAAAATCTACCTTAAATAAAATTTTAGATCTTAGTTCGTCGACTTCTTTCTGTTCACCGACTTCTTAAATAAAATTTTAGATCTTAAAACGAATAGAAAATTAACATAAGAAAATACAAAGCAAATCAAAACTCGAGCTTAACACAGTTCTTCTTTTCTGCTAGACATTTTCTGATCAATAAAATATAAAAGGAATAATATAAAATCTTCTCTAAAACAATGTGTAGTTATTTTTCTTCCTTTTCTCTTTCTGGAAGCCAAAATTTCTACATGGGGATGAAAATAAAGAATAAAAAGATATGTCTCAAAACCAGTTTCTGAGCAAAAAAATCTTCAGAAAACGATTAGAAAGTAACGGGAAAAAATAAAAGGAAAATGAAAATAAAGATATCAATCAAAACCTGTTGTGCACGAGGCGACTCTTCCTTTTTACCAACCATTTTCTGATAAAGAAAAATTATCAAATCTCCATTAAATCACATTGTAGTTTTTTTTATATGTATATACTGTTTCTGAAAATCAAATAGAAAAGTATCAGTACTAGTTGTAATTTAGACATATCTTCCTTTCTGGTAGATATTTTCTGAAAATAAAATAAAAAAGAAGTAAAATCTCCATTAAAAACACAAAATGCTGCTCTGTCTTTTCTGCTTCTCAATACCGAACATCAAAGCCTTATGCAAACGAGCTATAAATTCAACTAAAAACGAAGAGAGATCAATGAAAACCTGTTGTATCAAATTAAAAGCCGAATCATCCTTTTTCGAAGCCATAATAATCCTCTGATCTCTCGGAATTTAGAAAAAAATCACATCCCAAACAGGTCACAAAATCAAACGAACAGCACCAACCTTGCGAACATCAATCTCAGTAATGCCGCTCATTCACAATATGTAAACACGCAAACACTTAAATTCAAACCGTAAGAACCGTACGGGAATCTGAAACGTACTTAGTTGGAAAAAAGGGGGGGAGGAATGTAGAAAAAAGAGTGAGAAAAAGGCGACAAGGAAGAAGCTTAAATGTGAGAAGAGGAAGAGACTTTTTCTCCTTTGGTTGGGAATTCTTTGAGCTCAACGGAAACCCCGTATTGTTCAAAGCACAGGAAAGGCCTAAAAGCCTTCCCTCCGAAACTGAAGGGAGTCGTTGTACTTATACACGTTATTTCTACTATTTATTTTCTTTTGGAGGGAAATGACCGTTGCGGCAATTATTTGCTTTCTTTAACAGCCTTGCCACCCCGTGATTTCTTGAATTGGGCCCACTGGCCCATAAGATTGAGTTAAAAACAAAAAGTACAATCCGCAATATGAGCATGAAATATGATAGGGAAGTTATATAGTCACCTTGTTAAAAACTTGTGCTACCGTTTTTTATTATTATTTTTAATAAAATAAAAAATTATCTAAAAATTATTATTTTTAACATTTGTTATTATTGTTAATTACCAGTGTTGGTAAATACGGTAGAAAACAGTAAAAAAATAATATTTTAGATAGCGTTTTATTAGATACGTTACTAAAATCGGTAAAACGCCCAATAATAATAAAACCGGTAGAAATAATAATATTTTAGGTAATTTTTTACCAGTTTTATTAAAAAAATAATAACAAAATCGATAATATTTTTTTAACCGTATATTAATACTGTGGCACGTGATCATTTCCATCAGACGTTATTACTAAACCTAACTTTTAGTACTCTTTTTATCTCATGTTTTTACGCTGGCTTTTCGCAAATCAAAAGCAAATATTTGTAGTGAAAAATATAATAGTGAAAAATATTTTTAATGTTTCATAAATAATTATTTTAATCTTTTTTAAATATTTTAAATTTAAATTTTATTTTTGAGTTAAATATTAATCTTTTGATAAAAAATTAGCATTAGGTGACTAATGGTCAATGTTTTCTGATGAGATAATTTTATGTATTCAAAGTAATTATATAGCATGTGCTACGTCATTACTTTTAGTGAAAGGCTTTGGAAAACAGATATAGCTTTCCAACTCACCTCACCCATAAATAAATATTTTAGTTAAAACCCATCATTTCATTAGTTTATAATGAAGCATCTAATGGTGCTTTGCTTTTATCATTTATTGTCCACTCCCTAGTGTATCGTATCATAGCAAAGTCAACAGAGGCTGTAATGTCCAACAAGCTCGAAGGCAGAATAGCCATAATCACCGGTGGAGCAAAGCAAGTGGCATCGGAGAAGCCATCGTCCGTCAGTTTGCTATCCACTTTGCCCGTATGATCGTGATTGCTGACATCCAAGATGAATTAGGCCGAAAAGAAATCGAATCCATCGGTTCCCATAAGTGCTCATACATGCACTGCGATGTTACCGAAAAAGAGCAAGTGAAGAATTTAGTCCAATCGACGTTCCAGAATCACAACTCTATGCCATCAACGTTATCGAATCCATCGGTTCCCATAAGTGCTCATACATGCCTTAGGTATCAACTAGTTTTCTGAATTTGGAAGTGACTCCGATAGGCAGCATTTTCCAACTAGTTAGTTATATTTACTGCACAGTAGCAATTCTTATCTATGATAATTTTCCCCCCAGGACAGCATTGAAAATTGGAGAACTGTTGATGCACAAGCCGGGGAAGGGAAGTTACATTAATGAGTAGAAATAGATGGTTTGAAAACAGGAAGAATAAGTAGAATTAGAATAGAGACCTAAGGAAATTACGGGGATTAACAACGACAGATCATACAATGTATTTAACAATGCAAATCCCTTGTATGATTTTGAAAGTAACTGACTCTCAAATTCTTAAACATATAGTAACATCGAAAGCCTCCTTTACTCGAGCTGGAAGAAGCCATACATTCACGCAAACTCTATATGAGATCCAGAACCCTTAAAAGCAAATACTTAACTAGTTTCACTCGCTCACATAGTCACACACCATCATACTAGTTTCGAGATATTCAATCCCTTGTACTGTTCTTAAGCCATTCTAGATTCTGGGGGCTGCCACCATTGATGGGTAAGGCAATTACTTCTGGTACACTGAATAATAATAAAGGCAAGTATAAGATCAACAAAAGAATCTAACCGGCATTGATTTCTTGTATTCTTGATTCTTTATTTTTAAAAAAGGCTGTCATAGTTTTAAATTATGGTCCTTATCCATGAAGTAGTTGAAAATTCAAAACCTTGATAACGTCTCAGTAGAAAATTTGAAGAGGTTCTGTGCTTACTCTGTGAGTGCTGGAGGGATTGCCTTGTCTTGATTATCAGCAGTTCCTCAAGATCTGTGTTGATCTGCAGAGCCAATATAACAAATAATTCGGTAAAGAAGCAACGGCATAACCTATTTACTTTGTTCCAGCTTGTATAAATGAATAATAAACTTAGCTTTAACACAAGACCATCAGTAATACTTGGATTGGCCACTCTATTAGTTAAAATAGGACTTCTTCTGTACTAGATATTCTCAAAATATTTCTCAATTAGTCTAGATAACTTTAAGGATGAATGGTTTACTTGCATTATTCCAACAAAAGAAATAGAAGAAAAGAAAGCAGAGAAGAATACAATACTCTGTTATTTAGTACTTCTATTTTTCCTCTCTAATTCTCAGATTCTCACTCTCTTCCCGCTCAGTCTCTCTCTTGCTTTTTGCCCTAGAAAGGGCGTTGATTTGCTTCTTAAGAGACTCTCTTCCTGAGCTGTCTCTTTCAAGTTTGATGGAGGGAGGGATTGTAAAACTTGTTTTTCATGCTGATAAATATTATCATTCCCTTATAAAACCCCATTTCTTTGTTTTTCAGTTCTTTGATTAAAAGAAATACTTCTGTTTCGCATATAAAGTATTACCATTTCTTATTTAGTTTCAGTTTTTTCTTGAAGTACTTTTGGGAGGTTTCTGTCTGCAATGGTACCAAATTTTTTGATTGTGCTTTTTCGAGTCTTCTGTGTGCAGAAGACGAAAGTTGAGCATTTTCGATGATAGCTTTGGTGAGGTGGGAGAGTTTGGGGCAACGGCATGGAATCATAGATTTTATCGAAACTCGAATCAAAACCGAGTGTTTGAGTTGCCGAGTGAAGAATGCGTGGGTTTAATGGTTGAGAAAGAACACCATTATTTTGCCAATGCCAATTACTTGAAGAGGCTACAGAGTGGTGATTTAGACCCGGCGGCTAGACAAGAAGCTATTGATTTTATTAGGAAGGTGGGTTTTTAAGCAGGAATAAATTACCTCATTTGCTTTCCATCGTCTTGATTTGCTTTTTATTCTAATTGAACAGGTTCATGGTCATTTCAGTTTTGGACCATTGTGTGGAGTCTTTATCAATGAACAACTTGGACAGGTTTCTCTCTGCATATGAATTACCCGTAAGCTCAAAAAACCAATCAAACATGAGATTCTTCAAATTTTTGGACCTACCGATTAACGGTATGTAAATGATGCAGAAGGGTAAAGCTTGCCCGTTGCCCCAAACTCTCCCACCTCACCAAAGCTATCATCGAAAATGCTCAACTTTCGTCTTC